AAAAACAGTCACATCAACACAATACTCCGTCCAAGGGTCCAGACCTTTCAGTCGCTCAGATGTTTGGGTGATATTTACAGTTGTCTAGAAAATAACAGAAGACGCTGGTAGATTTCAACCTTATGCAAATCAGTAGGAACCATACGAAAATATAGAGAATTTCCATATGCCTGATAAGATAGACATTCAGTGGTTTATTGACTGAACATAATAGAGCATAATAAAACATATGGTATACAGTGAAAACTAACAGGAGGGTGGTGTCTCTGCACATGTGCTATAGTATGAAATACTTGTATGGTCACTAAAGACTAAATTGCAAGCTCCCAGAGGAATAGGGCCTTTAACTGCTCCTGTATTTGCCCCAGGAGGCACCTCTAGTAGCCATAAGAGGTGTGGCCAGTGGAGTCATCCCTAGGCTGCAAGGTAAACACCGCCTTTTCTCTGAAAAGACAGTGTTTACTGCAAAAAGCATGAAGGGACTGATTCTACCCACCAGAACAAATACAATAAAATGTAGTTCTGGTGACTATAGTGTCCCTTTAACTATTCTGAAAAATCTTAAACATCATTATCTACTTTTAGAACCTATGGATTATGTGTTCACTATTTTAATCCCAGATTAGTAAATCTCAGCCAACACCATTCTATCCATCTTTACAGAACTTTCATAAGAAAAACAACAATTAGTACAACAATTGAACATTTTTTTATCCAGTCTTCAACAAAAAAAAAAAAAGTTGAATTCTCCTTGCCAACATTAAACATTGCCTCCTTCACCCTACTGAAGACTAGCAAGTGAGGACCAGATTAAGCCATGGCAGCCTGCTGATCACCTGACAAACCAAGCCCCCTTTAGGTAGACTTGTTTGTATTTAAAGGCTTACCTTCACACCAGTGATTTTCTTCCAGTAATTCAACTGATAAAGCATCTTCCATTTATTTTCGACTAGCAAAGGATTCTGAAAGCGGACATAAAGTGAATAATGTTCCTCTGGGTATGCAGACAATGATAGAGACTTCACAGGCCCGATTGTGGCTGTAACACAAGAGAAATTGGTTTTGCAAATCAACACATTGAACGTGTCTTAGTTTAAAAACATACATTTCTTTCTTCTTAAGAAAGCGTTTGTGACAATATGTAATATGGGATGAAAGAAGAACCTACATTTTAAGTGATTAAACACACAAAGAGGCATACAATAGACAGACGTGTAATGACATACGGTTTTTCTTACTATCTGAAGCTTGCGCGAAAAAGCTTCACTGTACATTTTGAATGAGCAGCAGAAAAGCAGCCACATAGGTCAAACCTAGCATCCCATATATAGTAAGCTGCGTGGAACACAGAGTGGGAGAGAATCATAGGGTTACTGCTGCTTGTTCTCGGGTGCGGACTGACCATTCAGACACATCAGTCACGGACCAAGTGCCAGAGGCAGTCAGGTGCCCGGATGTACAGACATGGTTTACATCTATCCAGTCATAGTTTAATATGCTTTATTCTGGCTATTGTTGTGGGCCCCTGGTGGTATGGGACCCCGCAACCTATCACACTATTACTTTCTCGCTCTCAGCAGCTGTGTAAGATCTGGCAGCACAGATGGGGGATGAGACACTGAGGAAGCAACACATGGCATGATGTGGGGACATATTGTAGTAAGATGGCTCACATACACATGGGTTAGGAGGAAGGAGAAGTGGGTGATGAGGCAGAAGCACAATTGGGGAGAATAAAAAAAATTTAAAAAAAAGATGTGAAGTCCAATAAGGGGTGACAGAGACAAAAGAGAGGAGAGAAAGATTACAATTCGGGAAGATAGAGAGTCAGAGACATAGCATGAAAAAGAAAAACAAATGGAGAAGAAAATAATTCAAAGTACAAAATGACATGCAAACAGTGCTGCAATCCCACCCCTGGGGACACACTGCTTCCATGTTTGCACACACTGATCATCTACACACATACAGTTGTGCATTCACACACACATTGAATACAGCAAAGACAGATTGTCCAGATTAACTGGAAATGTGCAGATTTGAAGAGAGAGAAGTTGTAAATATATATTCAAAAGACCTTTATAATAAATAATAAAATAAAAAAGTTTGTTAAAACATTTTTAGCCCTAAAACTGTCCTCCCACTTTGTTGCAACCTTCATAGTGGTATAATGTTTGTCCCACATGGCTGCTTTTCCTCTGCTTACGTGTATTATACAGCAAAACTGCTCCATTTAACCCTCAACCAAGCTACAGTCAGATAAACTACAAACAGGGAGTGATATCCTTACTATGGACTCTATTTAACAATTTATAGATTTTTTTTCAAAACTAATCAATATTGTTAAAAAACAAAAACAAAAAAACAACTTTACAAATACGTTATCTACAGAAGTCAACATTAAAGTCTATGAGATTTCTGTATATAATTTGTAATGTTTTTCTAATAGTATTAAAACATTTGGAAAGCTTGTTAAATCGAGGTCTCTAAGTGTCTGCCTGGGTATTGTTGCCTTCTAACGCACACTGCTTGGCTATTATTGGCTATATTATTTGGAATAACAGAGCAATAATAAAGAAATTTTTCTTCTAACTATAAACATTTAAAGGACCTCTATAGTGTCAGGAAAACAAACTCGTTACTAGGTCCCCCTTCAGTCACTTACCTTTATCCAGCGCCGGGCTCCCTCGGCGCTGGTGACCTCTCCTCCACCTCCAACGTTGGCTCCCAAGCGGAAGCGAACGTGCATGTGCGTCAAACCCGTGCGTGCATTAAAAACACCCATAGGAAAGCATTTCTCAATGCTTTCCAATGGACATTGTGCATGCTCAATGCGATTTTCGCAGTCGGGGGAAGCGCCTCTAGTCGCTGAAACTGCTATGCTTTTAGCTGCAGGGTTAATACCTGGGGCACCTGGCACCCAGACCACTTCATTGAGCTGAAGTGGTCTGTGTGATTATAGTGGTCCTTTAACCCCTTAAGGACCAAACTTCTTGAATAAAAGGGAATCATGACATGTCACACATGTCATGTGTCCTTAAGGGGTTAAGCATGCAAGATACAGTAGGTTAATGAATGCATTAACGTTTATTAAAGCTCAAAGTGGCCCTTCAAATTTACAGACAAATTATTGCCATTAACATGACCATTTAGTTACACATTGCTTACTGTTTCTTGTAGCCTGGAAAGTAGGTGTCAGAGTCCATTTAGATGTCAGATTTCCTTGCTCAGCCCGAACTCGCAATACAATTTTAAAATAGATTTTTATTTCTGTAAATTTGCTAATATTACAGTGCGTCTCTATGATGTTCAAACACAGGTTATGATAGCTATTCTTCTCTGAGGTCCTGGAACACACAAAAAAAAAACAACCCTATGTTATCTGTGGTCATAAAAACAAAAAACCTCATTAAAAATTCACCTTACACAACTTATCAAAATCTGACATAACTTAATGAAACACTCCAACACACATAATGACTACAGTGTGCTGACACATTCAAACATACATGTAAAGATTGGAGTTTGTTTTGTTTTTTTTTAAATATATATATATATATATATATATATATATATATATATATATATATATATATATATATATATATATATATATATATATATATATATATATATATATATAGTATTAAAAAAGAAAAACCTGAATCTTCGGGAATTGATTCATTCAAGGATTACCAGTAATATTTATTTCGAACAAAATCGCTTAAAACAAATGTTTGCATATGTCTACCAGAGATAATGAAGGAAGCTCAATAATCTATACAACTTAAAGGAACAGTATAGGGTCAGGAACACCATAAGTCACTGGCTGGCCCAACTCTTGCCTCCCCTTAGTATAGTAAAACCTTACTTATTCTAAGGTCAGCAGCTGCTGCCTCTGATCTCCCTACTTGGCTGATGTCGTTAAAATTGATTCTCTGAGCCAATCACAATAATTTCACATAGGATTGGCTGAGACAGTCAAGGAGGCAGATCAGAGGCAGAGCCAGCACAAGCCAAACACAGCCCTGAAAAATCAGCATCTCCTCAGAGATGAATTGAATCAATACATCTCTATGAGGAAAGCCAAGTGTCTCCATGCAGAAGGTGGAGACACTGAATGTCAGTCACGTTGTGCAGCACTGCCCCAGGAAGCACCTCTAAAAGCCTTCTGAGGAGTGGAAAGTGGAGTTATCACTAAGCTGTAGTGTAAACACTGCATTTTATCTGAAAAGACAGTGTTTACAGCAAAAGGTCTGAAGGGAATGATTCTACTCACAAGAACAAATACAATAAGCTGCAGTTGTTCAGGTGACTAGAATGTCCCTATAAGGAGAGGAAAAAAAAACCTAAATAAAAACGTGACTCAGTGGGTATAACATATTCAACAATGAGCTATGGAGAGTATTCAGAAAAAAAAAGCATTTGGAGAAACACGTCTTCGAACATACCAGGGTCGTAATGTATTTTACTGCATTGTATAGTATTTTACCACACTTGAGTGTGTACTTCGCATATTAACCCTATCTGAAAGTCTAAGATACTTGCCATTTTAAAATTGAGAGAGGCCACATTACTATTTTATGCTTGTATATTTTGAAAGCCTTTTTTTATCATTTGATTGGTGTTTATTTTGGAGAGATCGAGCTGCCGTTTTGTGGCACTTTCACATTGGTTTTCTTTCTTCAATGTATTAACCAGTACAACAGCAAGCCAAAGATCATTAAATTTTCTGGTGCTGTCCCTCCATTAAAGGAACACTCAGCTCGCTCTAGTGCATTATGTGTCTGGAGTCTCAGTTTTTGACAGTTTATAAAAGTGTTGATTTCAGTAGAAATCATCACTAATTTGGGCCAGAAACTCCTCCCTTGATGTCACTCAGACATCCAAAGAAAAAAGTTTCAGGAAAATGCCCTTTCCTCGGTCTGTCTTATATGAACAATGTTTGATTTACCTTATTCTATGATTTGCTGTACAGGGTTGTGGGCACATTCATGTACTATCCAACGAATGAGCATGGATATTCATAGAAAATAATTCAGTTATGTCAGTAAACCTGGCAGTCTGAACAAACAAGCAGTATTCCCGAGTCAATTACAGCTCTGGACTCAGGATCCCGGGGTACTTAACTAGGAATCTTCTCCACTTTATACTGCCCTTTAAGAAATACTAGAATGACTAAACAGCGCATGAGTTAAGAGTGACAAAGTGACAAGAAACACAATACTTACAACTCATATTGGACAGTGTAAGTTACTGGGTGAAGTGGGTCTGACTCCTTTATCGGTTCCCATCTCAGATCCTGCTGTAGATTATAGGAGTAAATGGTCACGTTTTCTGGTGCTGGTAACAACTGGAGCGAGGGATCTGCAAATGCAAAGAAGAATTACACATAGGATACAACAGCCTAAATATAGGGGATACATCTGTAAGAAAAAATAAATTCAGGAATCCATCAACACTAAAATAGATATGAAACTTCAGAACATAGATTTCTGCTGGTTACCCTAATTTTGTTTAAGACATCTAATATATAGTCGTCATGCAATACGATGGAACATATGGAGTGCCGACGGTTTCCTAACCCCGATAAAAGAAAGCCCCAATTCTCCTTTTAAAACAAAATATATATAATATGCATGGGTGCTCTTAAATAGAAAGAGGAAAACTGTGAAATACTGAATGCATTGCAAAAAGGCCAAAAATGTCACATCTCAAAAAAGGCATAGTCCTTAAGTGGTTAAATACAAAAAGGAAGATCAAACGGAAAAAAAACAAAAACAAAACAAAAAAAAACCCAACAACACTTCTTTAAATTGTGATTTTCCAGTGTTACTCACTCAATGGTAAACATTCCAGAGAAGGGATGGATGCACTTTAACAAGATTTGTCAAAGTACCCAAGAACAATATAAATTCTGTACTGAACCTGTAACTCTTCACACTATTTGTGGTTTTAAAACATTTTGTTCAAATGTGTGTGTGTGTAAACTGTATTAATGGGTCACGCAGGCACTTTAATATCTTCTCGCTATCTATGTTGTTAAAAGGAACACTTCAAGCACCATAACCACTACATTCCACAGGTGCTTTCTCAGAGTAAGTAGTTTTACCGGTTTATTAATTATATTGCAAAATGGGGAAGATTTGAGGTTTGTGACGCTTTAAAATTGCCCTGAAAACACCAGCCTCTGTGTGGTCAGGGAAGCTCTTTGCTGCTTTGAACCATTGTTGCAATGGAGAGGAGGATATAAATAGCATTTCTCAAAGCTAGGAAACACGACAGCTTTACAGCACACAGACTGTAGTGGTGGAGTGCTTGCAAAAATTTAATTTTGTAAAGAATTTTCATTTTTCTTTACTTATTCCATTCCACAAAAAAAATAAAAATAAAAAATTAGAAAACGAGTATACATTTATTATAGAATTCATATTAACAGAAGGGTCGCCTTGCCAGTACTTGCATGTCCAAATACATTTACACTGAACAAAGTTTGTGTATAATGGAGTATGAAGGAGAAGAGTTTTATTGTACTAACAGAATGGAGCAACACTCCGGAGCAATTCGGTATATCAAAAAAAAAAAAAAAAAGCATGGGTTTTGAGAGGACTTTTACATTACTTTTGCTAATGTAAAATCATATTGTAGGTTAATTCACTTATTTATATAATAAATTGATCCTGGGGGCGGGGCCTGGCTGCCAACCTGAATGGGCGCATGCAGAGTGTGCTCCGTGCGAGAAACTCCTGAAGTGCCCTAAATCTGAACTTTTGCCTCATCAAACCCAGCCATCTGAAGGCTGGCAAAAAGCTGAATTCACCTGAGCAACACCTTGCAGCTTTTTAGATGCACAATGAGCAGCCTGGACTCGATACACAACTGCAGCCTACTTGTGGGTGCTGGCGTGGAAGAAGCGGCCGATCTTCCTGCTGGCTATCCTACTGACAGAAGTGGACACAGCAAAGGCTCCCGGACCTCACCCCTCCCCCCCTCCCATTGCCGGTGGGGGTATCCCGGCTCCAGCACTCACATCCTACTCACAACCCCCCGGTGGACCCAAGACCCAGCACACATTCCTGCTGGATGAATCAGCGGCTACCAAGATAGCGGGCGCAACTCCTTACACCATGCCACAAGGCTCGAGGGAATCCACTCTCACAAGGCTGGATGCAATATTCACAGAATTTTGGCGCAAGCTTGAAGAGAGACAACGGAGTGCCAGCAAGCAATGCTACTCCCCTCCTGCGGCTGATGGCTCCATGCCTGATGCAAAGCGTAGGAACAAGTTCACACGTAATGGACCAGGGGCCCACAGGAAGGTAACCCCCACTCATCGACCACACACACCACACAGGTCTCACGTTCCTCTGCAACCACACAAGCACAGGCTCCTACTGAGAGGCAGAGGAAGGTCCATGGTCCTGCTGTAACGATCCCACATCATGAAATCCAAAGGAGGAGATCCGAGGCAACAGTTGCAACAAAGTCAACTCACCTAAGGAGCCACGCCAAGCTACAGTACGCTAGGTGAACCATTACAACATGCTGAAAGCAAAGAGGTCTGCTGGATACCGCTGACACGTTCTTGCTGTGACCTACTGCCATTGGCACAACTCACACCCTTTGAGGGATCTTATCCATCATAAGGTAAAGCACCATGGAGGTGGATCGCTGTCCCGGGTGATGACCAATACTACACCACAAGCCTGCACTTACCGGAGTTCACCAGGGACAGACAAAGCCTTGCACCTCCCTCGCCTGACTGGACACTTCACTGAACGGGACTGTGTACAGCCACTAATGGGAATTGGTTAGGTGCAAATGCACGGTCTTACTCGGCCTCAGGCCTCCCTCCACGCTGAGCCACACACAGCAGTACCTAAATCAGCTAGCCTAGCTGAATTTTTAACACATCTGGCTGTGTAGGCACCCAGTGCAATTATTGTGCCCCATCGTTTTATTTTGTTACCCACACAGCATTGTGCTAATGGTATTTTCCTTTGAGCACAGTTAGGCTATTCTGCAATACGGGAATTCCTATATTCTCATCTACATATAATAGGTGACGAGGGACAGTGGCATGATGTCTCCAGTGTTAATGCTTGCATGTTATACTATGTTTTACTTAACTCCTACCTAGCATGTACCATGCCTAATGCAATACCTTACTTTTCTTTAAAACTTGTACTCTCTCAGATCTTATGTTTAGATCCACAGTTTAGCCTGTTTTATTATACCCATAAAAATGTGTACTTTCCTCATATGCCACGACACAATATCTTGATGTATGTTCCTAATACGCTTATTGCTGCCGTCATGGCATCTCAAGACTGTATGCACAATAAAAATAAAGAATATAAAATAAATTGATCCTACTGATGTCAGTATTCATTTCTGGCACATTATGTTTGTATTTGTTCAGCTGCCTTACTGTAATGTGTGCCAAGAGTTTACTTACTGTGTAAATGAACCTGGGAAACTGGTTTGTAGCTAGCCATGTGTATATTGATGGTTGAAACTGGATGGGTGGGTAAAGGATGGCATTATACATCCTGTAAGAGGTTTAGTCTATGCCTAAGGCCAATTCAATGCAGCATTGTCTGCAAATTCACCATAACCTGAATTATTCAACACTCTAACCACCTTCATAGTCACATTCCAAAGTGAATAAACATTGCCTTCTGTATAAAATTGTTGGATGTATGCCTCAAATTCAGTACGTGCCTACAGAACTCTTCAGCTCCTGAGGCCTTTCTTTGACAATGGTTGGGACCCAAGAGTCTGTTTTTCATACCAGTCCTCGAGTATAACCAATAGTAGAAGATTCTGGATAAGATTTAAAGGGACACTATAGTCACCAGAACAATTACAGCTTATTGAATTTGTTCTGGTGAGTAGAATCACTACCTTCAGGCTTTTTGCTGTGTTTACATTACAGCCTAGTGATAACTTTACTGGCCACTCCTCAGATGGCTGCTAGAGATCCTTCCTGGGTCATGGCTGCCTAAAATGCATCCAAACATTCAGTATCTCCTCCCTCTGCATGTAGACACTGAACTTTCCTCATAGAGATTAATTGATTAAATTCATCTTTATGAGGAGATGCTGATTGGCCAGGGCCGTGTTTGAATTGTGCTAGCTCTGTCCCTGATCTGCCACCTTGTCAGTCTCAGCCAATCCTATGGGGAAGCATTGTGATTGGATCAGGCCACCACATCTGATGATGTCAGAGGAAGTTCACAGGCAGAGGCAGCAGCTTCAGACTTGAATACAAGTAAGATTTTAACTATCTTTAGGGAGGCAAAGGGGGCCAGATAGTGGTTTTAACATTATAGGGTCAGGAATACATGTTTGTGTTCCTGACCCTATAGTGCTCCTTTAAAGCAGTGATGCCCTAAAGGCATATCCCAGAGGTTGTGGAACTGCAACTCCTATGATGCTTTGCATGCCTTTAGAATGACAAAGCATCATAGAAGCAGTAGTTTTAAAACACCGGAGGATCTACCTTTTGGGCATCTCTTGTTTAAAGGAACACTCCGGATCATTATCTCACTTCAAATTGCTGAAGTGTTTTATAGGTTAACAGAAACTTTGTCTTATTTTATAAAAGTACTGATTTCAAGAGTCCTTAGTTACACCATCCAACCTGCCAATCACACAGATAGAAAGGTTTCCCATCTCCACAAAGCAGAAGCCAATGTTTTACATAGATAAGAATTTGAATGGCAGATCCCCTTATTGTGAGCTCAGTGAGAAAAGATTGGGCTTCGTCAATTGGGACTGTCTTTGCAATGTAAAAAGTGTAAGCCCCGTTTTTTGTTTTTACTTAAAAAAAAAAACAAAAAAAACCTGAAAGATATTCATTTTTAACGTGGTGTTGTTCCGTTAAATGCACACTATAACGTTAGGAATACAAGTGTGTATTCCTAGTGCTGTAGTGTCCTTTTGGGTATTTAGGTCCTTGGGCCCCTCTGCAGGAGTAAAAGGCACGGTACTTCCCTTTTCTTCATGGCAGCAGTCCCCCAAGAAAGCTCTGCTTCCTTAGCGGAGATCATTGATATCGATGATCTCAGCCAATCAGAAAGCATTGAAAGGATATTGCACATGAGCAGCAAACCGCAGTGCCAATCAGATGTTTTCTCCGAGAATCTGCTAGAAATAGAATTTAACTATTTCATCAGAAGCGCCTTTGATGGTTGTAGGAGTAACTGCCACAAGAGGCATTTAAACTCTGCAATGAAAACATTGCCTTAGTGCAGAATGACCATCGTTTCACTTGCAGGGTTAAAACAGGGGAAACCTGCCACCCATACCACTTCATTGAGACTGTGTTCCTTTAAATTATGCTCATTTACCTACAGGGATAGTTACGCACAGACCAGGAGGGCTGGTACTGTGCAGTCAAGTCAACAGTTGTTCTTTGTGTTGCAATATCCAAACAATTCTGTGCCCATCTCCTTTACCTCTCAGCAGAGGGGAGAGATGCATTAATGGAAAGCTTATTCGGCTAACACAGATAAGGCATTAAAATGCATGCCCGCTACTACGGTGCGTAATCAGGAAAGGACGTGGAGATCCTAAAAATAAAATCAACAGTGTGAAGCATATCCTACAATAATAACTATCAGTTAACAACTTGATACAATTTTTTTTTTTTTTGGAATTCTTTATTTTTGTGGGTTTGCAAGTCAAGAAAATCAATTACAGTATGTGCTCAAAGAGATAAAATGTAACATTTTACATACTAGATCATCATTATATGTTATAAAGTCGCACATGTGCGTCGTCTACCCGTTTTTGTTTTGTTAGTCAGGCTAATCCTCCTCTTATCTGTATAGAAGAAATACAGCAATATGTCTGGGGGGGTTTGGGCGTTAAGCTTAGTGTGCCCTGCTGATTGGTTCAGGGTGTCGTGCCTTGCCTAGGACAAGTATGGTAGGGGGTTGGGGAGGTTTAAACGGTATGGCCTGTGGATGCTCCTGCCCTTGTGTGGGCCCTTTGGTCGGTCCGAGTTTTCCAGGTGGGTCGCTTACCACGTGGTGTGGAGGTATAGACTAGTTGGTTGAGACCCTACTCTGTCTTCGTAAGGGTGGGGGAGGGGGGGTGTTTTGCGTAGGACATGTCTTGGGCAGTCAGTTTACGGAGCCAGGGTGGAGTTGGTATCCCTTAATCTGAGCTGTGAGTGTCTAGCTAAGGTGATTATGAATGTTGGAGTAAGTGTCAACGTAACGAGAAGTCATGCATACATGCATATAAAACTGGTGTAAATAATGGACCTAAGAGGCCTTTAACTGGGAGTTGTAATCTCCCCGACAAAGTACATTATATAATGTTGTAGGGGTGAGTGTCCGCTCATCTCAGGTTTGCTGGTCCGTCGCCCTTAGTGCCGTTCCCCTGGGCGCAAAGGGAGTGACTTCCGCGATGTTCCACGGTGGGAAGGTACCTGTGTTCACCGCAGGCGTTGGGATGCCTATCGACTGGAAGAAAGGTGGTGCTTCCGAAGCACTCAGTAAGAGGTGTGTCTTTCCATCATGGTCCGCCATCAGTCTGTGGGGACCCCATTTATAAGGAATAGAGTTCTCTCGTAGGTGTTGCGTAATGTGGCGGAAAGTTCTGCGCCACGTGAGGGTATGTCTCGACAGGTCCCTGTACAGTGTCAAGCTTGCTCCTTCAAAAATAATTGTGGGGGAACCCCGTGCTGCTCCCATAAGGGCCCCTCTGTCAGAGTCCCGAACCATTTTAAGTAGTACATCCCTTGGGGCATCCTGTGGTGCCTTTGTGGCCTTAGGGAGTTTAAAGCAAGAGTCAATTCCAGCCTGTTTTGGTAGTAACAGTGTGGCTATCAGCCTTCTGCAGTAGTGAGGCAGTTCCATATTATTGATGGTTTCCGGTACCCCTCTAATACGCACATTGCGCGCTTTTGCTTTATCCTCCATGCCTGCTAGCTGGGCTGCCAGTGTAGTACACTGTTTCTGTAGGGATCCCAAAGTTGCGTCTGTGGCCGTTTGCGCCACCCTAGTGCTTCTGAGCATCTCCTCTGCTGCGGCCTGCAAGTGTGTTTACCTCTCCTCTAATAAGTGCCATATCGGCGTCAAACATCGCCCTGATTTCTATCATCATAGCCTTTATATCGGCTTTCGCTGATGGTGCTAGGTGCCAAGATCTGGTGGCTGTTGGGACTTAGGTCGTACCTCAGACTGTGCAGGCACAGTGTCCGGTAGGCTGTCGTCGTCTGAGGGCTGCGAGGTAAAGGCCTCAGCCGGCACCATCTTGGCTGTCTCGTATCGCTGAGTCGGGCGCATAAAAGCGCCTATATCTCTGGATCCGGAGCTCAGTTCCGCTCTGTGCTTTTTCGTTTTTTCCCCCATGGTCTGGGGTATGCAGGGGGACGTTTTCTCGGGACCCCGTTGCAGATTTAGCCTCCGTTTCAGCTGTATTATTGGGTCAGCCGTCGGAGCTGCAGTAAGCTGCGACCGTCTCGCTCAGGCGCTGGCTCCGCCCCCAACTTGATACAATTTTGTGAGTGGAGTTGTGAACAGTTTTTACTTGAGCAACATGGCATTTAGAGACCTGGCGAGGTCTGCCAAATCCTAATGTCATAGGGACAAGGGGTAATATAATCTGGAGCAATATTTAATAGTACCCATGTTTTAATTGCGTGCGAGGGATGTGCACAAACAAAATAAGTATTTCCTTTTCAATGGCAACAGTTCCTCTTTTTCTGGAGTAACACAGAGTGCGCAGCTGAGGTATGCAGAAACAAAATAACCACAGCAAGTTGAGGGAAATTAGTGCCATCATGTTTTTGAGCATGAGTTAAGGCATAATTTTCCGAAGATTCCAAACACCCAAATGCACATTAAGTAGCAACATGCAGCTTTGCAACGGCTACACATCTAAAAAGAGGTTACTGTAAACAACCAGCAAACATGTTCTATTCAATGCAGAACGGTTACCTCATTGCGCAACAACTTGGAATGGACCACAGATCTTACAGTCACAGTTAATTCTGCCAGTAAAAACCCTCGCATTGAAAGAGAGAGAGAGAAAAAAAAGCACAGAACAAAAACGTCAATTAAATATCTTTCTGACCTACTATAAAATCCTATCGACACCGGGCAAGCAGTATTGCTGCAGAGCAATGAGTAGGGGGGGTGATGGGAGTAAGGGTTGGCACAAGGTACAGATAATGTGCCAAGTAATGACTCCCTCTGACGCTGACTAACGTGTCAGAGCACAGTTGCTGGTATTCCCAGCCTGCACTCTGGCTCACTGAGTGCTGGGTTCTAGAACCATAACAGAAAGCCAAACAGGAGGGAGGCAAAAGAGAGCACCGTCATACACTTAACACACAGCCAGCACACATGCATGCACAAACACACCCTACATACTGCCAGAATGAGCGAAGGTAACAAAAAAAGGTATACGATAATAAAATACACACAGCACGGCTACACACATTACATACAGCCAGCATACAACCCTCACTCATTACAAACAGCCAGCATACACACACATTTCACTCACTAACACACACACACACACACACACACACACACACTCTACAGGCAGCACACACTCTATATTACACGCAGCCAGCCCTCCCTCTATATTACACCAGCCAGCCCTCCCTCTATATTACACGCAGCCAGCCCTCCCTCTATATTACACCCAGCCGTCACTCTATATTACACACAGCCAGCCCTCCCTCTATATTACACACAGCCAGCCCTCCCTCTATATTACACACAGCCAGCCCTCCCTCTATATTACACACAGCCAGCAGTCCCTCTATATTACACACAGCCAGCCCTCCCTCTATATTACACACAGCCAGCCCTCCCTCTATATTACACACAGCCAGCAGTCACTCTATATTACACACAGCCAGCCCTCCCTCTATATTACACACAGCCAGCCCTCCCTCTATATTACACACAGCCAGCCCTCCCTCTATATTACACACAGCCAGCCCTCCCTCTATATTACACACAGCCAGCCGTCACTCTATATTACACCCAGCCAGCCCTCCCTCTATATTACACACAGCCAGCCCTCCTCTATATTACATACTACTAGCCAGCTCCCTCCTCTATATTACATACTGCTCTATATTACCACAGCCAGCTCCCTCCTCTATATTACACACAGCCAGCCCTCCTATATTACACACAGCCAGCCCTCCCCTTATATTACACACAGCCAGCCGCCACTCTATATTACACACAGCCAGCCCTCCTCTATATTACACACACAGCCAGCCTCACTCTATATTACACACAGCCACAGTCACCTATATATACACAGCCAGCAGTCACCTTACATTACACCCAGCCAGCCCTCCCTCTATATTACACACAGCCAGCTCCCTCCCTCCCTCCCTCCCTCTATATTACACACAGCTGCCTCCCTCCTCTATATATATTACACACAGCCAGCCCTCCTCTCCTCTATATTACATACAGCTGCTTCCTCCCTCTATATTACACACAGCCAGCTCCTCTTCTTATATTACACACTCCTCTTATATTACACACAGCCAGCTCCCTCCTCTATATTACACACACTCCCTCTATATTACACACAGCCAGCCCTCCCTCTATATTACACACACTCCCTCTATATTACACACAGCCAGCCCTCCCTCCCTCTATATTACACACAGCCAGCCCTCCCTCCCTCCCTCTATATTACACACAGCCAGCCCTCCCTCTATATTACACACAGCCAGCCCTCCCTCTATATTACACACACTCCCTCTATATTACATAGATAAGTGTCAGCTTGGCTCAGAGATTGCTCATGTCGGCTATGGAAGCTGGATGGCAGTGATAGGTAAAGGATCCATGTATGGGAGTGTGACGGCGGAGGAACATTTCATTACCTGCCCGCAGCCCATACAGCAGCGCTATCAGGGGGCAGAGCGCTCTGACAACGGACCGACAGCCCTTCATCGTGCTTCCCCGGCCGCCATATTGGGAGGACACTGACAGGCACGTGACTACGCTCTTACTCCGCGTGCGTGATGACGCCATGGACAAGTGTTTACAACAGTAGCCATGGTAACCATCCTGCTCCACTCCACAACGAGTGTTCTGATCTCCAAACAGTGAACTAAAAAGTGAATTTAAATATTAACCCCTTAAGGACTGAGCCAAATGTACACATTGTGATCAAATCAAAACGTAAACAAAACATTGAATTTGCGCTATGTGTCTGTTCAGGCGTAATTCCCCTCTGTCATATTATGCGCACCCACACTTATTACATATCATTTTATTCAGGGAAAACAGGGCTTTCATTTCATATCAAATATTTAGCTATGGAACATAATTTAATGTGAATAAAATATTAAAAAAGTGGGAGAAAATAAGATTTTTAAAAAATTTTTTAGTTCTACGTGACATTTTAACTATGAATGTCACTTTTACTGCAGTAACATACACATATTTGTATTAACCAAAGTCTCACGTGTAAATCAGTACCCCCTATGTACAGGTTTTATGGCGTTTTGGGAAGTTACAGGGTCAAATATAGCATGTTACATTTTTCATTTTTTTCACACTGAAATTCGCTACATTGGTTACGTTGCCTTTGAGACCGTATGGCAGCCCAGGAATGAGAATTACCCCCATGATGGCATACCATTTGCAATAGTAGACAACCCAGAGTATTGCAAATGGGGTATGTTCAGTGCCGGTATTGCAGTCTCTGAGTGTCCTCATGTGTCTCCCAGTGTCCCCATTGTGGTGGAATCTCGGTAAAAATAAATTTAGTAGGCCGAGATTACCACGTGGTATGTGTACGTGCATATGCTGACGTATCGATCAGTTGGTTGCACGAGGCAAGATACGATCAGTAGTGTACGGAGCATGTGCAAGAATACAGGATGTAGTATTCCCCTCCTCCATTGTGCTGGACAAGCCATGCGGTCAAGCAGGAAGTTAATTCTTATTTGTAATGATTGGTCAAGAGAATGTGCGGGTGGAGCTTAATATGGGAGGAGTTATGTGCCTATATAGGGAGCCTGCACTATTGTTCAGGGCTCAGAACTTGCTGTATTTTTGGTGACATTAGTCCCTCTGAGTCCCGATCGGTGATCCAATAAAGAATCTCTTCCTTCCTGAAGAAACCTGTGTCCATCTCTCTGTGCTTTGCTTCCGTCAGTTTCTCCGGTATCATTTGGTGCATTGGCCGGGAAGCTCATCGTTCAACGGTAGCTGAGAGGCAGAGGCGTGAGACGGTCTATCTTTGCCCACGTTCTCTACGGCTGCACCCCTGAACTTCTGCGTGGACCTCCCTTCGTCTCGGCGCCACTGGTCTGTTGTCCAGGAGATCATCGGCCTCTACGTAAGAAGTGCTGGGGTGTCCCCGTCGATGAGTGTGAACTCAGGTTCAGGAACGAGGAGGTAAGACAACTGCTGTTTTAGACGGCAGACCCACTAGGGGTATACCGATTGTGCGGTAGGCCCAAAAGGGGTTTAAATCTGTGTATGGAATCTGCCCCCTCTGTCGGAGGGAAGGAGCGAAGGCGCACCGCTCGATCGAACGCTCTTTAGTAAGACCGTTTGATCTGGTTAGTCAGGCGGGGTCCTGTGTAAATAGCCCTAGCCGGACACCGGTGTCTTGTCTAGACTAGCGTTCTAGGGTGTATATTACGTTCGCTAGGTCGGAGGGACCGGGAGACTAAGCGGCGCCTGTGTAAATTCGGTTCGCTAGCTCTCAACCTATCTTGGCTAAGTGGGAAGGCGTGTAAATTTGGAACCCACTAGACTTTTGATAGAGTAAATAGACTAGAAGGGCAATTTTGTAAATTTCGCCCTCTAGTTCGCTATATGTGGTGTTTGGGCAGTGTGGCTAACCAAAACGGGTGTATATAGTTTTAGGTAGTCCATTCAAGGTACTGGCCAATAGTTTAGTTGGGATTGTAAATGTGTTAAAGATTGTTAGTAAAGTGTATATCTTGTTAGATAGCGCGAGCTCAGCCGTCTAGCGAGAGTGTTAATAGTGTGTTGCTGTATCATAGTGCACGGTACCATAACCCTGTATATTTACTGACACTGTATATAAGTACTAATCATTGTCGTCTATTGCATGTTTAACACCGTAACCACTAATAATTGTATTGTGACCTTAAATTGTGCTTTGACCTATGCTAACCGTACTGTAACCGATACTAGTAAAAGACGATGTTACTGGGGTGTGTTATAGACGGGTAATTCATATATAGAGAATTATAGCGTGGGTGACTGTATAGTTTCGCCAAAGGGCATAATATTGATTATTTAGTGACTGGTGTAACAGCTGTGTGTGTACGGGAATTCCCTGAGTGATTATTGTGTTATTGTGTACGTTTCACTTGGTAACTGTACCACGTGGTGCTGTTGCCAGAGGAAACGGGTGTGACTGTTGAATAAGAACGCGTGCATAGTATTCGTTGTCAACGACGTTCCATTGATAAGTATGGGCGCGTCAGAGTCAACGATTTCGGATCCCTTAGGTTGTATGGTAAAGAATTTTAAAAAGGGATTCAAAACATGTGATTTTGGGGTTAAAATGTCTCCTGTACGTTTGGTCACTTTGTGCACTAGGGAGTGGCCTACTTTGGTTGCGGCATGGCCGCCGCGTGGCAGTTTGGATCCAACCCTGGTACAGCGTGTACACGTGGCTGTATCAGGTAGGCCTGAACTTTACGGACAGTTTCCATACATTGATTGTTGGAGGCAGGCCGTAAACGACTCGCCAAAATGGATCCGGATATGCCACGAGGAGCAATGTCGCCTCATGGTGGCCAGGACTTGTTTGTCCACTAGGACTGGTGTTAGGCCCATTTTGGACACGCCCCCTGAGTCCGAGATCCCTTTGCCGCCCCCTTACTTTCCTTTAAGAGGAAGTGACGCGAATGCAGGAAGTTCTGCACCCCTTCCCCTATTGCCCCCATCCACTTCCGCTTCCTCCTCCAGTACAGAATCCACCCCCCCTCGTATTAAAACTCCCCTTCCGGAACCAGGACCAACCCCCATTAGATCTGAATATCCTGATTTGGCGCCACTTCAAACTTCCGGTCAAGCTTCTTCTAGCTCGGCTCGGAGTATACTATTCACTAACTTTTCCCAAAATCAAGTTCCCACATCCTCATGCCCTATTACCTCTCGACCGGAACCTTTAACTGACGCCCCTCCACGTAGCCCCATACTAACCCGACAACTGACCGGTACCCAACAATTAAAACATTATCAGATGCCTCTTCGTCTGAATCCTGGGTCAGCCTATATCGATGCCGCAGGTCAAATGGCACATGCTGACCCAGTCTTCGTATATGTCCCGTTCACGACTACCGATCTCTTGAATTGGAAGACCCACAATTCCTCGTACACTGAGAAACCACAAGCTATGACCGATCTGTTCACCTCGATAGTTCAGACACATAACCCGACATGGGCTGATTGCCAGCAGTTATTAATGACATTGTTCAATAATGAGGAAAGGACAAGGATTAACCAAGCGGCCATTAAGGCGCTAGAGGAGAGAGCCCGTGCTTTAAATCAAGCCAATCCGGCAGCATGGGCCGCAACACATTACCCTAACACCGATCCTGACTGGAATGTAAATGGCGCAGATATGGCTCAACTTAAAGCCTATAGAGATGCTATAATTGCTGGCATGAAAGCCGGAGGGAAGAAAGCTATTAACATGTCGAAGACAGTTGAGGTGATTCAGAAAAGTGATGAAGCGCCCAGTGTCTTTTATGACCGATTATTGGAGGCATACCGCTTGTATACCCCCTTTAATCCGGAAGACGCTGATAATTCCCGAATGGTAAACTCCGCCTTTGTCAGCCAAGCTTACGGAGATATTAAGCGCAAGCTACAGAAATTAGAAGGGTTTGCAGGTATGTCTATCACCCAACTAATGGAGGTAGCGAACAAAGTATATATGAATAGGGAAACAGAAAGTAAGAAAGAGGAAGAGCGCAAGATGCGTAGAAAGGCAGATATGCTAGCGGTAGCGATCGCAGGCGTAGATAGACGGGGCCCAGATAGAGGCGATGGTAGATGGAATAGGGAGCCTTTGAGTAGGAATCAGTGCGCGTACTGTAAGGAAGAAGGGCATTGGAGGAACGAGTGTCCGCAAAGAGAGCAGTATGAGAGAGACTTACCCAGGGCAGGTTACGGAAACTTTAGAGGCAGAGCGAGAGGTAGAGGAGGCCCCGGAGGGAGTAATGGTAATAGAGGGAGTAATGGGAACAGAGGAAGTGTAAGGGAAGATAGGTACTATCCAGCAGCGCAAAGGTCCCGCGATAGAGAAGGTAGGGACTTTGTGGGATTGGCTGACACGGTCATGGAGGACTATTGATACCGACCGGGCTCCATCCCCCTTGGTCGAGCGGAGCCTATGGTCGATGTATCAATAGGGGGAAAAAGGAGTGCGTTTATGATCGACACTGGTGCTGAACATTCGGTGGTGACTAATCAAGTTGCTCCTCCATCTGGAAGAACTATTACTGTAATAGGAGCAACTGGAAGAAGTGCTGAAAAACCGGTTCTTAAAAGTCGACTCTGTACATTGGGAGGCCACGTAGTAAAACATCAATTCCTTTATATGCCTGAGTGTCCAGTCCAATTGCTGGGACGTGATATGCTATCCAAATTACAAGCGCAGATTACGTTCCTACCAAATGGAACAACATCCTTAAAGTTTAATGGACCCTCAGGTATTATGACATTGTCCGTACCAAAGGAAGAAGAGTGGCGACTTTATACAGTGTTGACTAGCCAAAACCCGAGGAGTGATGAATCCTTATTTAACATACCAGGAGTTTGGGCAGAGAACAACCCACCAGGACTGGCCCGCAATATTCCACCTATTAAAATCGAACTAAAACTTGGGGTTTATCCAGTAAGCCTGAGACAATATCATATTCCGCAGAAGGCTAAGAAGAACATCCAATCTTATCTGGATAAGTTCATACGGTATGGTATCCTAAAATTCTGTACTTC